GCAACCCGGCCCCCGGCTCAAAAAGGTTGCCTACCCCTGTCATACAGAGTTGGTCCTCCATAACTTAAACTAGCCTGCTGCTTTCCAGACCAATGAGGGATGGTGTTACATCGTTTGTGCTGAAGTATGATTTGTGTCCTATCCAGATTGTACATGGAATGGGAAGGAGTTACCATTTTGTCTGTTGCCTCACACAACAATATGTCTTGTGTCAGCCCTGCTATTTTATGGAGCCCAGTTAAATATCTTCACAATAGCCTACTTTGTAGATGATGGACCTGTACCCATGTAAAACAGATCTGATCTTCCATTTTGTATACAAAGCAATCATTCAGTGAAAATGATGAACAGCAACACTGCAAGAAGCAGTTCATCATCTGGTTTGAAACTTTGAGAAACAGCTCATACCCATATGTTCCTGATCTTTGTGGCAACTTATGTCTCTCTCTGGATTTGGTACTGTCTGAATTATTTTTAAAAAAATAAAAAATAAAGTGCTTGTACATGCCAGAATATTTCTCCTAGGACCAGGACAGTCAATTCCTATGCCTTGCAAACTGTTTTGTTCCATTTCTCTTTCTCTTTCAAACAGATGAAGTTTGTTGAACTGCTTGGCCTGTTCCCTCAAATGTCTCTAATTTAGCCAACTTTTCCCCACCCACTTCACACTTTCCTTTACCACCTTTCCATTCAGCCCCTTGCTCCTATTTCCAGAAATAAATTTTGAAGGAAGAGTGTTTCAACTGTGCAGCTCAGCCTATTGAAAGTATGAAGTGGACTAAACCTCATGTTGTTGCAACAAGGCTAAATCAATCACTGATTGAGCTGAGCCCTGGATGAGTTTTTTATCTCTGTGTCTTACTGCAGCCTTACATGATCTTTGTTTTCCTTTTGCTATGTAAGAGGACCAAGCAATGGTAAACCCTAGATAACAAAGCTGTTGTTACCTCCATTTTTATATAGCTTCATTGCCTTGGTCTCAGAAATAAGAAGAGCTTGAGAAGGTTACTTTTTGAAAATACAGCTCCAGATACGTCTAAGCAAGTTGGAAGTAGCCATGCTAGCTGGGGGATTCTAGGGTAGTATCTTTAAAAGTAACTTTTCCAAGCTCTGAAGTTAAAGGGTACACATTATCCATGTTCTAATAGTAATACTGGCAGAACATAAAGCTTCACCAGTGCTACTACAGTGGGCTTCCACTTCCCCTGGATGTGCAATGCAGCTTGATGGCACTGGGATTCACCCACAGGCAATTCTTGGGGATAGGAAGAGCTATCACTTGTAGTATTATCTTGCAAGTGTTACTTTTGAGGGCTGGGAGAGTTACAGCTGTACTCTTTGCCAAGACACTGGCAATTGCAGCTGGACACTGCCTAGGGACGTTCCTAGGCAAAAACTGGTTGTGCCATCAAAGCTGTGTTGCATTGCCAAGATGGAGACATTGTACAGTGAGGTAGTGGATACTTCCCTGTGCAATGTCCATCAAAAGAAAATTGATCAAACCTAGCAAAGCTGAGAGTTACAAGGTGTCTCACCAGTACAACTCTGTCTGCTATATTCTATGGAAGTGTTATGGTATCACTCAAAGTTCAGCAAGGAGGCTGCAGAGTAGATCAGTATAGGTTCCCAGGTTCACAACAAAGGCAGATGGACCTGATTCCTCCCAGCTCTCTTTCACAAAAGAGCTGTGTTTCCCCTGGTGGTTTGGAATGGAATGCCCACTAGATTTCAAAGGTGGGGTTTTGACACTTGAATTTTGGCAGACACAACAAGCAGACAGGACCAGCTTTGAGCAGCACCATGGCTGTGGAAGCAAGAATGGGGGAACCCATAGGGTGCAAAGCAAAGGTAAACAATGTGGTGCACTCCAGATATTTGGATTATAATTCCCATTATCCCTGACCACTACATATGTTGGATAGGATTTATTGCAGTTGCAGTCCAAAATACCTGGGAGGGGCCATGTTGTTTACTCCCTACTTTAAAGGACTGGCCCTAAGGGAGACTGTCAGTGATTTTCTGCTTCAGGCAGCAAAATGTCTTGCTCCAGCAAACACTGGATATGGGAGAAAGGTTTGTGAAAGCTGAAAATGTGCAGTGGCTCCCTTTGGGAATCTGATGCAGGTTTAGCTATTATCCTGTCTTCTTGCATTTTTTTTCCATAGGCTGTGCCTGTATGTTACTAAATAAACTGGCTTTACAATTATATTGTAGATCTTCAGTGCTTTTTTCCTCTCTCTTATCTCAAGGAAAAGAAACAGAATCTCTTGGTTCTGATCTCTGATATAAGACCGCATGTAGTTCTCCTTCTTCCTCTTCTTCTTCTCTCCTTTCCCTTGTCAAAGAAGCAAGAAATGCACACCATGTACACCAACAATTTTCTGTGGCAGTCACCCCTCACAATTGGCTGAACTATTGTTTTTACTTGACTGGGTTTTACTTTGCAGCTTCCTGTCTACTTAGTTCAACTTTTCTATAATCCTGAAGGTTGTTGATTTTTTTCCCCCTTAAAAGAGCAGCAACTGCAAAATGATCCAAAAACATAAGAGGAAAGTAAAGCAGCAGCAGCAGCAGCAGGGTTTTTGTGAAGCCTGGAAGAAGTCTGAAACAATCTCACTCCCTGCTGTCCCTCTTCCTCCTTGGTGCCATGCTACTGTCTGCATCTGCAATTCCTTCACCCTTTAGAAGAAGAGTTTTCAATCAGTCCAGAGAATTCAAGGCAAGTATTCACTTTGGGATAAACAAAGAAACAATATTTTAAAAAATAGAAGGACACAACAGAGTTGTTGCTACAAACATTGTTTTGTGATAAGGCTGTACGCAAGGTTGATCCCAATTATCTTGCCCAAATGAACTTGAGTTTAGTACTCAAAGCCAGCCAATGTGTGTGAACACATTGTTGGCAAAAACTCAATAAAACAAAACAAAAACCCACAAGCACCTCTGTATAATCCAGCAGTATGAATACAATAGTACAAAAGTGAATGAGTAACACATCTGCTGCACTTTCCTGATGCTCATAACTTGCCTAACATGAATGTCCTCACTCTGCCTGCTGAAGGGAATGTGGTGATAGCTTTTTGCAAATGACTTTCTAAAATGGTCCACTTTGTCTGTGTGGGGATAATTAGGTATACTGTTTCTCCAGTCTTTCAGAGGGAGGAGGCATAACTTTTTATCTGGGAGGCCAGAGGCAAGAAAAGCAAATCCCCCTGCCCAAATTCAGCTGCCGCCACCATGTTGTCCGACAGTACAGGGACTTGGATAAGAAAGGAGGCTCCCATGGGTTGAAGACCCCCATTCCCTTCCCAGTACAAAAGAGCTCTACCCCAAGGCCTTCTGGCTGGGGGAGGAAATGAAGTGTGTGCAGAAGCACTACTATTAAAAGTACAAGTGTTGACAGTTTGGCCTGCTATGATGAGAGGGGGACCTGGTCAACAAACCAGCTTTTGGTATACGTACTGGTGCTGTTCAGCTGTTGTGGATACAGAAAGGACCCTCCTGTAGTTCAAATGGGCATAGAGATGGTCACAATTTCCCCTTAACAGAGGCTCTGATCTCTTGGAATAAAATTGTATAGTGTTAGTTAGTTAGCAACCAGTAAGTCTTTGTGCAAACAACCCTACTTAGCAGTTAACTTGCCCACTCCACTTTCCTTAGCTGTATCTCTGAGAGGCAGGGTACGGTAATAAGCCAGAAGTCTCTGATCAGTTCTATTCCTCTTATCCTCAAGTAACTACTAGTCCCTTCTAGAAGGTAGGCACAGAATATAAACCCAGAACCAAGGCAGAGCCTCTGGGATTTCACTACAACCTGTGAGAGGGGTGCACACACATTTGAGTAATTTTAGAGGGGGGCAGCTGTAGAGTGCTCCTACTCATAGCTTGTGTCGATTGTGTAGATTAGCTGCAATGGGGTGGGGAAGTGGACTTTCTCAGCTGTCAATATCTACTGCACCCATTCAACATCAAATAAACTTTTTACTCAGTGGCTTTGTGATAATCTCTGAATTTGTTTGAGGGGAATCAGGGTCCTGATCAGGCCCTCATCCATGATAGCAGCTACCACCAAATAATTGTGAAGAATACTTAAAAGACATTCTTCAAAGTGGGCTTCTTTTGCTGGGATGGGGCAGGGTGTGGAATGGTGAAGAATCAAGAAAAACTCAGAATTTTTTGCAGAAAAAATATATTCCAAGAAATTTCAGCTCTAATCTATTTAGTAAGAATAGAGAGCCAGTGTGGCATAGTGGTTTGACCGTTGGACTATGACTCTGGGACAAGGGTTCGATTCCCAGCCCAGCCATAAAACCCACTGGGTGATCTTGGGCACATACTCTCAACCTCGGGGGAAGGTAAAGGCAAAACTACTCTCATCCTCAGTGATACTTCCAGTATGATGGTGCTGAGAGAGGATGCAGATATGGTGATCTAGTATCTGCAACCTCAGAAACGGTGGTTCTTGTAGGAATGGGGATGTGATTTACCCATCCTTTACCACTCTGAGAAGAAAGGTAAATAGGAGGGAATCATTGGGGGAGTTTACCAAGGGACCCCCAGTTAGAGAACAGGGTATATTCCCCAGCCACGAAACAGGGGAACCTGTGTTCCAAAGATTGTCCCTCCCATCTGTTGCATTCGTTTTATTTAAAATGAGGAACTTGCCACACATACTGTATTGATAAATGAAGAGAAATATAATGGAAAGAGAAGATTAAGGAGAAAAAGTGAGCTATCATTCACTCATGATATTTACCTACCCCTGAACTGAGATCCAGCGGGTCCTTTAAAGCAGAGAAGACTTGGGGAGACAGGCAGAACAAGAGAGTTGGCGTATTCCTTATTTGGGAATCAGGGAGAGCGGCAAAAGAGTCGTAAAGAGAAGGAGCCGTAAAGCAAAGAGAGAGGCAAAGGAACATGTGGTAAAAGAATGGGAAGGTGCCATGTTCAGTCCAGTGAAGAGAGACTATAGTTGTAAAAGAATGGGAAGGTGCCAAGAGAGACAGTAAAGGCAGGAAAGACGAGAGGAACGATGACATAAACAGTGAGATACAGAGAAGGTAAAGACAGTAAAGACTGTAAAGATTATAAAGAGGTGGAAAAAGCGGTAATGAGGGTTAAAAGACTATAAGGACAGTAAAAGGACATGGAAAGCATAAAGAAGTTGTAAAGCTGGAAAAACGAAAGACTTAAGAGAGACGAGGGAACAGAGACTTGGTGAGATGCTAAAGAAATGGAGAAAAGTGGTAAGCTGATGAAACGGATAAAGAGTAAAGGACTGTAAAGGACTTTAAAGGACAGAGAGGATAGAAAGGAGGACAGGAAGAGGAGGTGAGAAGGCAACAGTGGAGATAAAACGAAGTGAATTGAACAGAAAGGTGAAAATTTTGAAAACTGAAAATATTGGACTGGACTAAGTTTGATTGTTGGAGAGGAATAATGGAAATTAAAAATAAATAAGTTTAAAGGGGAAACAGAAAAGAAAGTATTAGAGAAGAGAGGAGAAGAAAAGAAAAGAAAATATTTGGTTATGAAATTAAGGACTAAGGCAGGGGTAGGCAACCTTTTTGAGCTGGGGGCCGATCCCCCAAAGTCCTCCCTTCCGGTGGGCCCAGGGGGGGAATGGTGGCATGTGCGCTCACGCACGTGTGACCCCCCCACGCACACCGCCACTGCCGTCACCACCGCTGTGCACACAGCCGCAAACACCTCCACACATGTTGCGAATGCCATTTTGGAAAACAAAATGGCGGTCACGGCGCACGTGGCCGTGCGGCAACCGAAACGCACGGTGGCAGTGGCAGGCGGCGGTGGCAGGCGGTGGCAGGGGTCCACCTGGGCTGGTAAGCACAGGGCCCTGGGCCAGAACCGGCCTGGGGGCCATAGGTTGCCGGCCCCTGGACTAAGGTAATAAAGGAGAGTCTAAAGAGAAGAAGAAAATAAATAGAGCTAGAAGATAAAAGTAATAAATAAGAGGAGAAGAAAAAAAAGAAGAGGGGAAAAGGTGACAAAAAGTTGAATTTTGATGGAAACCAGAGAAGTGCAGAAGATAAGAGAAAAAGTAAGGACAGATTTGATTTAAAGGTGATAAGTAAGGAAATTAAATTACTAAAATAGAAGATTTGGGGAAAATGTATGAAACATGAAAGAATTGATATATATTTGGCAATTGGTCTATTAAAATTGGTACATGAATATGCCTGATAAATGGAATTGTAAAGTCGTTAAGAAGTGAAAATATATATAGGATATATAGGTCTTAATAGAATTTTTTATCCTGTCCCTTTTCTTCACTGAATTTTAGTATCATCAGTTGCTATTTATTATATTGCTGCATTTTAATTCTTCCTAAGTTTAATTCAGTTTTAATGGGGGGAGGTTTGTGGATTAAGGGAATGTTTTTTAACTTTGTTGTTTTTAAATTGCTGTAACCCACCCCAATTGCCGTGCAGAGGGGCGGGCTATAAATAAAAAATTATTATTATTATTATTACTATTATATTATTATTATTTAAATAGTAAATCATATTTATATAGGGCAGACTAAGGAATTAAGATAAATAACTAAATATCATTATGTTTGAATAATATATTGAGTGGTTCTGATCTGAAAGGGGGGAGAATCTATTAGTTAATAGAGACTTTCTGCTGTATTATGTACTTTTATACCATTATAATATCAAATTAGCAGGGAATAAGGGATAGAGGTGGGCTTTTGTTGACTTAAGATTATATTATAGTATATTATATTCTCTTAGGTAGGTGTTTGTTAAGGTGAGGCCAAAGATAAAATTTTGTTATTGTATGATTAATCTGTTTGACTAGATTGAAAGACTGGGAAAAATGGCCACTTCAAAGAAAAGCCTGGTCCAAACACAAATACCTACACAAAGAAGGGGATCTATGGAAGACTCAATTAAAATAATAGATATGATAATGCAGTTATTAGAAGAAATGCACCAAATAAGGCAGGAAATAAAGGAAAATAGACAGGAGATGAAAGATGACTTGAAAGAATCTAATCAAGAGATAAGAGGAGAGATTAAAGAAACCAGATCCGAGATAAGGAAAGATATCAAAAAGAACTTGATAATCTCAGTAAAAAAATGGAAAGAATGTCAATGGAGATTAGTAAAACTCAAAAAGAAGTAGATAAAATAAAGGAAAAGACAAATGAATTAGAAAAAACATCAGAGGAAAATCAGAAAAAATTAAAACAACAAGAATTAATGATATGGACTAATGAACTTAGATACCAGGAACACTGTATTAAGATAAGAGATCTAGCAGAAAAATCAAATGAAGATCTGATTATGAGAATAATGCCACATCTGGCAAAATTAATTGGTGCTCCTGAAGGAGAACTAGGAAAAGAAGTTGATAAGATATTTAGAGTAAACTCTGACCAAGCAAAAGACAGAAAGATTCTATGGGATGTGGTGATTTGTTGGGTCAGAATGAGAATGAGAGATATTATTATCCAAAAATGCTATGACTCAAAAGTGATAATTGATAATGTGGAAATAAAAATCTTTAAGGATGTACCACCTCAGATCAATAGAATGACGAAAATATAAGTCTTTGATGCAACTATTAAGAAACTTTGGAATTAATTTTAAATGGGACAAGATAGAAGGATTATCCATTTCCTACAAGCAGAAGAGATTTAAAATAGACAATGAAACAAAAGCAAGAGATATGGAACAGAAACTTAAAGAAGATTTTAGAGGGAGAGAAGAAGAAAAAAGAGAGAGAACAAATATAAGAGAATGGAGATCCAAAAGATATAAAGGGGGGGAAAGGGAGGACAAAACAACAAATAGTAAGGAAATGGAAAGGGAAGAGAGTGGTGAGGAAGAACAATCTATTAAGAATCTAGAAGAGAAAAACTCCAAATTGGAGGTGAAAGAAAGCAGTGAGGATGAAGAAGAAGGACAAAGTAAAGGAGAAATAAACAAGGTAGAAGAAATAGAAGATAAAGAAATATAAGACTGAATTAGGAGAGAAGGAGGTCTCATAGTGAGACAAGAATAATTTGTGGAGTGAGAAAAAAGGGAAAAGAAAAAGAAAATAAAAGTATCTAAATAAAGATATAAAATATTTTTTAAAAAAGAAAAAATAAATATAAGGGGAGGAAGGGGTGGCACATTAAAAAAAATAATAAAGTTTGAAAATAAATGAAATATAAATATGGTGAAAATAATATCTTGGAACGTGAAAAGTATTAACTCAAAACATAAAAGGCATATGGTATTTCATCAACTAGAAAAATTTAAGAGCGATATTACCTGTATTCAGGAAATTAAGATAAGGGAAAAAGACATAAAGTATGTTAGAAATCCCAAACTGGGAAATGCTTACATTTCAGTGGCAAATAAGAAGAGGGGAATTGTAGTTTATGTAAATAAAAAAATATCAATCTAAACAAATCTTTGGTGACAATAATGGAACATACTTGGGAATAGAAGTGAAAATGAAAACTTAACCATGTTAGTGGTGGGGATTTATGCTTCACTGGAAAGAAGAGATAAATGCTTTAATGAGATAACTGGAGAATTGAAGAATTTAAAATATAGCAATTTAATCTTATTAGTAGATTTCAATGCAGTACTGGAACCCAAGTTAGATAGAGCATCAAATGAAGGAAGGAAAATAAGGATAAATCAAGGCAAGCTGCCGAAATCTTTCTTTGAAATGATTGAAAAATTCAGATTAGTGGATGTGTGGAGATATAAATTTAAGGAAGCTAAAGGATATAATTTTTTTTCAGAGGTATATAACTATTTTTCAAGAATTGACCTTTTTTTAGTTTCCAAGATACTGGCTCCAATGATAAAAACAATGGATATATTAACAAAATATACATCAGATCATAACCCTATTGAAATAGAGATGATAGTGAAGAAAAAAGAATTTATATGGAGACTAAATGATGAATTACTTTAAAAGGAAGATAATATAAATAAAATTAAAGAAACATTAAGACATTATTTCAAAGAAAATAAGAAAGAAGATATGTCAAATAAAATAATATGGGATGCAAGCAAGGCTGTTATTAGAGGAGAATTTATCAAATTATGATCAGAACACAGGAAAAAAGAAATGGAGAAAGAACAGAAAATTAAAGAAGAATTGAGAAATAAAGAAAAAATGGAAGGAGAGGGGAGATAAAAAGTTGAAATGTGAAGTTGAGGATCTGTAAAGACAGCTAAAGGGAATGATGATAAAAGAAATAGAGAACAAATTAAAATATATAAGACAGAAGCACTGGGAAATAAAGTGGATAGAATACTTGCAAGTAAATCA